TTTTTTACAACAGAAAAAAAAAAAAAGGAAGGGAAAAAAAAAAAAAAAAAAAAAAAAAATATATATATATATATATATATATATATATATATGCGCTTGATTCTGGTAAACATGTTATGAGCTTTTAGTTCTTGAATGGAACAAAGCTTTTGCCACAGAGTTCGGCTAAGCTTAAAAAATTACCTTTTTTGTTTAAAACGTTTGGATAACTTAACCAATAGGTAAAAGTTAATTATTTTTGAATTATTTACTTATAACCTTTTTATGCTTAATTGAACATGACAGTAATTTTTTTTTGCATCTTCGTTCTCTTTTACCCTTTTCATTCTGGGGTTGTCAGTCGAAATGTTGTAATACGCATATCATTTTCTTTTAGTATTAATCGATTCAATCCTTGTGATTTTTCATTTTTCATTGCTTTTATCCATAGGGTTGGCAGCGGAAGCTTGATCCAGATTACGATGTGATGCATACACTACAAACGTTGCTCCTAAAAGCAGACTGGGCAAAGTCACTTTCTTACACAATCGAAGGACTCATGGCCCCGTGAATAAGAGCCTTAAGACTTCTCTGCAAGTACATTCTAACAATTTTGTCAGTGTAGAACATATTAACTGTACATCACCCCACACAAATATTATTGTCTTTGACACAATTTGTTTTCAGCTAGTTCCCAATATGAGACCATATTTCGTGTATTTGTTCTTAAACTACTCTCCAGTGTTGGCTGACAAGCTATGAAGCCGGTGTAATAAATAAAAACACCTCAGTGATTCTTTGATTTCAAATTCTATCTGCTGTCATCTTTCAACATTATGGTGCCTCTGTTTTCTAGTGGTTAACTTAGTCAAAATGATGCCTTTTCTGTTTTTGTTCGTTGGAATTTAGTCAAAAGAATAGAGGCAAAGTGATCTCCAAATCGAAAACATAGTACAATGCATATGAGAACCTTCATTCTGCTGTATTGAAAGTTTTATTTGCCAGCCAAATAATTTACAGTGTAATCCTTATATCCACTAAACAGAATGCTGCCTACTCGGAACTTCCCATTACCGATAATCCACAACCAATGTAGAGCTATGTTCACGAAATTATTTCTTTCGATTTAAAATTATCGCAAGTGTACGGTTCGTTAACAAGTAATAAAGTGGATTAAATGAGTTCGAATATTGTCTCACAGAAATTGATTAGTTCAATTTTACCTATCGTCGCCTTAATCGAAACAATAGAAATTCTTGATATTTTCGCTAACTAAATTATGATTTAATAACCTACTTATAAATATAAAGTCTAGATTAAATGCGTGATTATAACTAAATGCAAGTTTTATAAAAATATGATAACGAAATGCGTAATAGGATCTCGAATCCCCTTATATCAATTCCTTTTAATCCGAATTTTATAAAATTGACAACACGATTCAATTATGAAGACCAATATTCCTAATTTGTTGAACAATCTCTCTCGAGTAGAATTAAACATATTTTTACATGCGATCTGACTATATTTCTATGACGGATGCGAACATATAAAAATGCATTAAAGATTTATGAATACTTAAAGATCACGTAAAGTATAGCGGCATATTTCTATCCCCTATCGAACTTTACGGCAATTAACATAATGTCTAACTTATTTTCCATCTTTCGAGGGTAAAACAAGCCACAAAATTCATACAACTATTGCGCACATAATTGTAGAGAAAATAAAATTCATGCCAATAATTCAATAATTAAAAATATGTTTTAACGTTAAATTAATAAAATTCAAGATTAAGGGTTCATAATATAAGGTTAATCGCAAATCCTAGCACATGAAAATCTAGCCTAACATAATGGGAAATAAAGAAAAACAATAATTAAAACCAAGGAAGAACATCACCCAATTGATTCTTGAAGTGAAATATTGAATCTTGGAGTGGATTGCCTTTTTTTTTTTTTTTTGCCTTGTTCTTCCTCTCCAAATCCTCCAAAATTGTGTATAATTACCCCTTCTTATGTTTCAAGGTCGTTTCATATTTATTGGGGACGGAATTAGGTGAAGGAAGTCGTCTAAACCCTTACTAAATCGTGTTTGAGTCGAATAAGGAAACTTGAGATTTCGTCACATTTTTATACCATGTGACCGCATGGTATAAAGCCATGCTACCGCATGGTTCAGAAGTTTCAACCTAGATTTTTCTCTGTATTGCCCTCTGCGACCGCAAGGAATTATAACCATGCGACCGCATGGTTATAGAAATTTTTCCGTCACGCAGCTTTCAATATTTTGATCGTAACTTTCCCTCTCGATCTCCGATTGAAATGTTTCAAAGTGCATTGAGAAGAAAACTCAAAGATATATACTTTTGATAGAAATAGGATTCCTCAAATTCTGATATTTACTATGTCAAAAATGGATCTCAAGTAGAGACTAAAAATCACGAGCATAGTTTTTTCGCCTGAAAGTTGATACTTGATAATACTTCGACCATATTTCACCTCTTGACTCTTTTCCTCATCCGATTGACCTCTAACACTCTTGAATCTTCATTCCATTTCTCGTCTCATCTATGGATTATTTGCAACTTGGTCCCCGAACTTTCAATCTGATTCATTTTAGTCATTTTTCGGCTCTTTTCTCCTGAATTCCACAATTTTCATAGAAACACCTACATTGCATGAATTCAACAAGATTAAATCACAATTTAAACATTTTGCTTGTAATTAAGTTATGTTTGTGATCTAAATAAGTGTGCAAAAACACACATATCAAACCCTCCAAACTTGAACTATTGTTTGTCCTCAAATAAGATAGTGACTTAATTCTGAACAAACATGGCTTAATACCCTGCCGTGGCTCAGGATTGGACTAAGTATTTGACTTTATGAAAATTTATCAGTGCAAAAATGACATCAACTTTTACCTGTTAAATGCATGCTTGACGTGTGTGTGTGAATTCATGCAAACATATTAGGTTCATGATGAATTTGAGTCCCGACCCAAGTAGTCAAATGTATCCTTACTCGCTCGAGAGATACAGAACCCCTCCAAATTTATTTTTTTTCACTCAATTATCCCGAGATTGTGTTTTAAGATTAGGAATTTACATAGCTGTAGTTCTCACCCTCTCGTAGTTTGGATTAATCTCACTATCACAAGTTTACATTTCAACAAGTGAATGCTCTTTCAAGTTTGATTGCTCCGACACTCAAGATTAAAATAAGTTACTTGCCTCGCCTCAAAGGTATAATTTCTTCAACCAAATGTCTAAGAGATTTTCTTCATGTTATTGTCTTTCTTTTGTTTTTCTCACTCTCCAATTTTTTTTTTTTTAATATATCATCTTCTCATTTGCTTTCTATATAACCACTTTAGCGAGTTTTAGGTTGGTTTTAGGGTACCAGGTTTTAAACCCTTGCAGGCTTATTCACTCAAGTTATAAAGGCTCGATCAGATGATTTTTTATCAACCTTTTTCCCTCTTGCTTTCTATATGACCCTTTTAGTGAGCTTTAGGCCGGTGACTCCCAAACCAGTTGACTTTAGGGCACTAAATTTTGAAATATCCTTATAGGCTTACTTGCTCGAGTCATAAAGGCATGAAAATAAGTGTCTTATTCTCACAAATTTATTTTATGCTCTTATTGTTCTAGACATTTAGTTTCCAAAATCAACCCCTAATTTAAGATTTTTACCTAATCTTCACCTCACTGGTCTAGGCAATCCACACAATAAAATTCATGCACGGAGCCCCCGCTTATCTCAATGTTCCCCTATAATAGCTCAACCATCACCAACTGTTTTAAGATAGTTTACGGGTTAATTCAATAGAGGGTTATCATTCTTTTCCTATTTTATGCTCAAAATCCAGTCATTCATCTAACATGTCAAGCATGAATAGCGTGCACAGATAATGTCAAGTGTTGCATCAACAAGTATCAGTTAGTCTAATTAACACAAGATCCAAAGTTTTGCAGTTTAAACAAGTTCAATAATAACATCATAGCTAACAAGGTTATCAAACCCATACAAGCATGCAAGAATGGAAATACAACAAACTGAATAAAAGGCAAAAAATATTTTTTTTAAAATTCTCGACAGGCACACGAATTGCAACAATTAAACATAGTTGTTGATAAATATAGCCAAAATGACGAAATTATGTTCGTGTCCAAGATTATGTCACCCACCCCTAAACATAGATAATACATTGTCCTCAATGTGAAGATGAAATAAAAGTGTAAACAGACATAATTAAAGGACAATAATAAACTTAAGCGCAAGATTGTGTATAAGTACTCCCCTGATCAAGATGGAGGTAGTTAATGAAAATTGGGACCAGCAGTACTCTCTCTCAGTGGTGGAGCTGTGACGTTCTTTTTGACGGCATTTTGTAAAAGTGTAAAGTATGCGTATTAGTCCACCTGGTGTAAACAGATGCAACTGAGGTAAGAAATAACCTACGTAGTGCACAAATCCCCCAAACTTGCTTCAATGTGTACATTGTTGGTATGCAGAATGCATAATTTATGTCTCAACATAGGGTTTATATTTCAAAAATGTGAATTACCAACGTAACTTCGCTCAAAACATGCACTTTGTTCAATTTGATACATGACTGACTAAAATAGGACTTCAACCTCATGACTCGTGCTCGGTGCATTGGAACTCCTGTGGACCATGCCTAGACTTTATGTGAGAGGGATGTATGATCGATGACCTAAAACTATTGATAAATCAAAAAAATGAAAATTTCCTAAACTATTGCAAACTCAAGTAAATGAAAGGATAGCAACGTTGGGTTGCCTCCCAACTAGCGCTATTTTATAGTCGATAGCTCAACTTTTGGCATAGGTATTGTATGGCACTTTAAATATGGCTTGGGAGGTCCTGCATAGTTTGCTCAATATGGTCTTGTTCCGCACTGTAGTTATCCTTCGAATTTCATCCCTGTCTTTCTCCAAGTGATTTGTCATTCTCTCCTCATCCATATGAAATCCCACATCGAAATCCTTAATCTCCTTTGAATCGATAAGAACGGATGGAGAGTGTACTATACATGCCTCATAAATGTTTGGATGTTTCTTCAACTTAAAATTATAGGGGATTCCTATGTCAAGCACTTCAATCTGGAAACAGTTTTCAGGCTCGTTGGGGTTATTTCATTGCCTTGAAAACATTAAAAGAGACTTGTTCGTCCCTAGTCTTAGAGTTAATTGTCCTTGCTGCACATCTATGAGGACTCTTGCAGTAGCCAAAAATGGTCATTCCAATATGATAGGCACGTCCTTGTCTTCTTCCATATCCAAAATCAAGAAGTCTGTTGGGAATATGAGTTTATCCACTTTGACCAATATATCTTCAATAATTCCTCGTGGATGTATAAGTGATCGATCAGCTAGTTGTAGAGTTACTGTGGTTGCCTTAGGCTCTCCCAATCCTAGTTTCCTGAAAATAGAGAGTAGCATCAAGTTAATACTCGCACCGAGATCACACAATACTTTATCAAAATAAAAATCACCAATTGTGCAAGGGACAATGAAACTCCCTGGATCTTTTAGTTTTGGTGGGAGCTTTTTCTGGATTCTGGCACTGCATTCCTCCGTAAGCATTACTGTCTCGTGGTTTTCTAGCTTACATTTGTTTGATATAATATCTTTGAGAAACTTCGTATAGCTAGGCATTTGGAATAGTGCATCGGCTAGTGGGATGTTGATATGGAGCTTTTTGAAGACTTCTAGGAATTTTTTGTACTGTTGCTCCAATTTTTGCTTCTTCAACCACTGTGGAAAAGGAACCGGAGGCTCATA